TGTTTTGATTGAATCAAATTAAATAATGTCTACAAAGAACCTACCCAGTGCCTAACACGTAGGTGATACTCAATAAGCTGTTCTCAAGTGAACTGAACCGAGACAACAGTGAGGGACGCCTTGGAAGCCTGGGTGTCCCTGCTGTGGTCCCACGGGCAGCCCCAAAACCAGGGGGTGGGAGGAGTGGGTCTCTGGTCCGGGACGTTGAACTCTTCAATTTTTAGAAATTCGCAGGCAGTGGAGCATGTCTAAGGATGCCCTTCCCCCTGGTAGGGACTCTAGGCTAGGCACTGCTCTTCTCACCTGCCTCACAGCCTGCAGTAGAGCACACATAAGTTTTTATTTATTTATTTTTAAACATCAGGGGTCTTTTAATTTGAATGAAGTTAGCCCTGGGTTATCTGAGATTGGCGTCAAATCCGCCTAGTCCTAGTTGTCACAGAGGGAACCAGACAGGGATTTGCTGCCAGGATCCACCTTCTCTCCTTTCTGAGGAGGTGGGGAGCCTAGGCTGACAGTCTGCTAGGATTAGGGAGGAAGGGAGTGTGTGAATGCAGTGTGGGTAAGCTGTGCCAGGCCTTCTTCCTTGGCGTTTTCAGGCCAGCAGCGGGCAGGAGAGTGTGCCCCCACCTGTGCCTGGTGTGCTGGGAGCAGAGGTCTCCATGCAGCTCAAGTCAGAAAGGTACTGCAGGGGCATCGTGCCCAGCTGGCCTTCGCATGAATGTCTCTGGTGGCTTTGCTTCTAGAGGACATTGAGACAGTCCCCATGTGGGACCGGAGGCCCTCTCCCCCTGTGCTTGGGCCTCTCAGGCTGTGTCTTTGCTGATTGTCCCCTGGATACAGCGAGGCCCTGCATTCCCTCTACAGGCAGCTTCCTCTCTCCCTCAATAATTGGAACTAATTATGTAAGTTCTAATAGAACTTTTAGATAATTTCTTTTAGTTCCTGTTTAAATAATCATGCTGGCCAATGGCTCTTTGTTAAAAATTCTCCTTTTTATTGGGGAACTATGCCCCTGTTTCTGGGTGTGAATTTGTATAGGTGTCCCTAAGAGATTGGGGACAAGCTTGTCGTTAGATGCATTGTTCACAGAGTGCACACAGATGCCAGGTGTTGGGGATACAGGAGTGAACAGGACACCTTCATATATATCTACTTATATAAAAACCATGGGTGGTGTTCTTCACATACAGACAAACAGTAACGGAGTGGCAGGAAGTCAGTCCTACAGGGGTTGTCTTGGCAATGGCTGCACCCTCCCCCAAGCTGTTTCATGGAGCTGTTTCCAGTAAGGGCGGAGTTTGAGGCAGGAACCCGCCCTGGGAGCATGGAGGCAGATCTTTCTAAAGTGTGCTGCACCAGCACTGGGTGAACCTGAGTGGGGCGGCTGAAAGGCTTAGAAAAGACAGACAAGAGAATGGAAGCCGGGTCTTGGTGGGATGCTGCATCTGAAAGGTGATGGGAGGACCAGTGCGGAACCTGAGCCAGCTGACGCTGGAAGGGAAGTCCCTGTAGAGCCGGATGCCAATGATGATGTGTCTTTTCTAATTCCCTGCAATGGGTGTTTTTTCCTGTTAGGTACACAACAAAACATTTGAAGGATAAGATGACACACGTGGGGATGGGGCCTTCAGCTCCTCCCGTGACGCCCCTCATGCTTACTCCCCTCCCCGCATGAAGGCTCTTCCTCCCACTCTGCGTCCTGCTGCCCATGCCCCTTGCTCCTGGGAAACCAGACCATGCAAGAGTGGACGTCCTGCAGTTACTCCATCCACACGAGGTAAGCAAGGCTAGCAGTCCATCATCGCTGGTCTTACTGCCCTCGGCAAGCTTAGGAAAGCAATGAAAACGGGGTCCACACAGACAATACTAGAGAAAAATGCTATTCAAAAGACCCAGCTCTCTCCTCGAACATGCATAGGTAATACTCTATGCACACATCACAGTTTTAACGTTAGTTAATGAAGGTTAAACACACAACATACAAAAAGGTCAAAATGCAAACTTAAAACTTTAAACAAAAATCTGACTAATTTAAAAAAAGTTTGTGTTGGGTACCATCTGTACAGCACAATTAATTTAAACATTTTCATTTGGCTGCACATGAAAAAAGCAGCAGTAGAAAATAAAGTCATTGAGGGTTTTTAAATAGCAGAGTAGGCAGTTTCGCCATGCAGGAGAAGCAATATTAAATATTAGATTTCAAAAAAAATCCACATTTAAAAATATTTACTTCAAGTCACAGAATTTCTCAGTGGAGACCCCAATGTGAGGCATGATTAGCTGCCTCAGGTGGCCTTTCTGAAAGGCAACCCCTGTAGGGTATAACTTGACTGATTTTGGCACAGAAAGGAAGTCTTAAGAACAATAACATGATTTAAAAAGAGGGCAGAGGAACAGAGGGAAGAACTAAAGCGGGAGTAAATGAGAGAGTAATTGCAATCACTAAAAACTGTGCATCCGAGTCACTGCAGGCGCTCGCTCTGGAGTGTCATTGCAGCATGGATTTAATTTGCTTGGAGATAGTCTCATCGTTCAAATGTTTTGTTGTGTACCTAACGGGAAGAAACACCTATTGCAGGGAATTAGAAAAGACACATCATCATTGGCATCTGGCTCTATAGGGCCTTCCCTTCCAGTGTCAGCTGGCTCAGGCTCTGCACTGGTTCTCCCATTACCTTTCAGACACAGAGCCAGTTGCTGGGACACTGTTAGAACTCCCCTGTTGGGATTCAAGGAACAGCAGCCTCCTGATCACCACACCCTCTGAGAAACAGCAGCTGTGTGGGAAACCTCCCCACACCAGCCTGAGGAGCCACCACAGCGGTGAACAGCACCCACCACAGGAGCTGCTTCCAACTGAGGAGTAGCTGCTACCACAACCGCTCGAGGAACAACCACAGCCCAAGAAG